AATAATAACCTAAGTTAGAGCGAAAAGCGTGCGGCTGTAGCCAAGACCAGAAAACTGCGGGACAAGAACTTGTGTCGTCTTTTCTTGGGAACGTTGAGGGCTTTAGCTTAAACCTGACTTGTCTTGTTGCCGAGAGTCTTTGATTTGACTCGAGGTAAGTTGAGACTGGAGTTGAGCTCGGGGAGAAGCCGTAGTAGTAGTAGAACAAGCACAAGTAAGGTAGTGGTAGTTAATCGTAGCCAAGCCAAGGCCCAAGTCAAGGTAAAGTAAAAGCAAGGTCATGTAAGGTACAGGTAGGCGTATGGATAGCGGTAGAGGTACCTTCATGTGAGGTAATGGAGACAAGGTTGGGTTGGACCTTGGGGCAAGGGGAAAGAATAGCCTGGTGGATGGTGGACTGTGAACTGTGGGACATGGAAGCAGCTGCTGCTCACTCAGGCTGTGAGCGGGACGACTCCTCTAAAAAAGACAAGGTACGTACTCGTAAGGTAGGTAAGGTGAGGTAAGGTAGGGTAGGTACTTGTCCGTCGAAATAAGCCTGGTTGTATCCGTAAAAGCCCAGTTGCTGGAGCGTCTGTGAGGCGCATTGAGCACGCAGACGCGGATGGGAAGCTGTGGCCGTGGATGTTGGGGGCGGCGCTATGCAAGAGGGTAAGGTAGGTAGGTACTCCGTACGGTACGGTGTACTCCGTTCGTAACTTCGTACCGGCTGCGGTTCGCAAGCGGGACGAAAAAAGAAGGCCAACCTGGAGACCTCATGGACCTGGTGGACGTGGTAAGGTGCCGCGTCAGTTCAATCACGGTACTATTCGTGGTATTATTTCAACGCCACATTGTAGTACGTCGGCCGCTGGTGATGAGTATATTGGCTTGACGGGCCAAACACGTCGAATGCGAGGGCTGCCCTAGAGGAACCAAAGACAGCGATCGGGGGTGGCCTCGTCATCCTCTGGCCGGCGCTGGACCTCAAAGGGGAAAGGCTCGAGCTGCCAGAGCTTCGAAACCCAAAACTCGGGCGTTGGTTGCATTTGGTGGAACGACCAGGTCTGGAGTTATGCAGGGCGACTGGAGAATGAGACCCAGACCTAGATCCCGGCCGAGGCGACGCGCAAGGGTCCATTGACGGCCGAGCACTGAGACGACGACGTCGCGGCTTTTCCGCGAAGACGGTAGGTGCTAGCTACCGAGTAAGAAGGTGTCTTGAGCTGATGCTGCCAATGATCGTTCAGAGATGCAGAGGTGTAGCTGCTGTAAAACAAGAGTCCGGCCTGGCCTCGACTAGACTGTTGTAGTATCCGGGCCGTTGTATGACTACCGGTATGTGCGTGTGCGTGTTCACCAAGTGTTGTGACCATGCCTTAAAAGATCCGAAGAAGCTCCCCCTGTCCTATTCAGTTCTGTCTTGGTCTCTGGCATCGACGACAACATCAGCCGGCAGATGGCATCGCAAGAGGTCGGATGGATAACCTTGGAGTATGCAGGACACACATATACGGATACACACACCGGCCAAACCCCATTTTGAAGCAGTCTGAGGCTGAGAATAACGGGCAACATCATCAGACGATGCTAACCGATGCTTCACAATACATACTCCGCTGTTGAAGAGGGCGAGGCTTCTTGGTGTAGGTATGTATATAATTGTGGGCCAGCATGTCATATCCCGCACGCGCACGCGTCTCTCCAGAGAAAGATCCCGAGCCGACAAATTCAGCCTGTCTAGTGGATAACGTAGGTAAGCAGATGGAGCCATTCATATGGAAGTAATCGGACATCCTGGCAGTCGCTCGAAACAGTTGATGGACATGTTGCCAATGCTGGCCACGACCCCCGTTGACCAAAGTCCCGATGCGAATTGGTATGAGACGGGCAGAAGGCATGATATCCGTATGCTGCATTGCCATTTCCAGTCGTGGCCTCTTTATCCATCTCTGGACCTCGTGGGCGGCCTTGTTCGGAGCACTCCGGCTGTCCCTTTTTCTTTTCTTTTTTTTTTTTTTTTTTTGCTCAAAGGCAATCGATGTCCAAGATCTTGGTAGGGGCGAGTCATCGATTTGCGCTGCCGATCGGGTCGGCTCAAACACTGGACAAAAAGTCAATTGACCCCGTTCATTATGACTCGCGACGAACGTGACGAAATGCCTAGCCGGCTTGGCCAGACAAAACTGCGGTGGTCTTTCTGCCTTTTCACAGTGACAACTGATTTGACGGGATGGACCGGATTCACCGCCGCACAGGATGAGATCGCAAGTCTCCATGAGGATGCGTCTTGACCAGGAAAAGCAAATTGACGAGTGGAGTGAGGAATCGAGCGGCGGAAACTTCCTCTCCGCTCGCCGTGGACGGAGAAGCAAAGCCCTGCATCTATGCAGCTCGGTGCAGCGTGATGGGATGGATAATGACTTGCCAGGCGCAGGAGCTGGCGCAAGACGGTGCTGCGACTGCGGTTACCTAGTATCCGCAGATAAGGTACAGATACCTTTTTGTCCTTGCTGGTGTTCTAGGTAGTTGAGGTACTGGGATACTTGAAAAGTTGAAAATGTTGTGCACGCGATGGGCGGAAACTGTAGCACACAAAGTAGACATCGGGGACTCGGCGGCCCAGGGATCCCCGTAGCGGCCCCAGCAGTTCCCCATGAGAAAACATCAGTGACCAGTAACCAGACTTCCAAGGGACTCCAGACGCGGAGTTCAGAGAGGCACAGGTGACAGGGTGGTGCTCGTCAGTCGTCCAGAGTCCAGAGTCCGGTGCCAAGTGGAGGTAAGAGACATGTTGAGTACTCCGTGCCTCAGGTGGGATTCCGGCGGTTGATGAAAACAGAAGATGCAGACGGGATGCAGATGGCATGTCTTCCTTCCCAAGAACAAGGCGTCTAGACTCTAGACATTATCAGAAGATTAGATACTCAAAGATGTTGATTGGACCATTGCAATATGGAAGGTAGGTACCTTATGAGAATGTGATGCACAATAGAAGGGATGGAAGGAAGCCACTGACTGTCATGCCTTTCGTCTTGTCTGATTCATCTGATGGACAGGGTAGGTAGGCACCTTAGGTAGGTGCACTCTGCAGTGAGGTGCTGCGCTGCGCTACACAGCTGCAGATGTGTGCAAGTGCTGCGTAGAAAACATCGGCACGGGATTGAACAGGAGCGTTACGTAGGCCCTAATATCCGTGCCATCCCTGAGCCTGTTCGGTTGTCCCGAAAAGGCTTGGTGCCATGGTTCTCCCCGATGGAGACCCGCTCAGGGGTGGAGAGCTCACTCATCCTCTATTGATAGATCTCCCCCAGTAATTTTGATAATGGAACCCTTCACCATAGCAATTACGCACCACGCAATTCCTCATCCAAAAGCACGTCGCTCAAAATCATCTTGGGTCGTGGCACTAGACACAAGTCCAAGGAACCCTGCCTTCCTGTCCGTTTGTACACCACCTTAGGGTCTTTAGCGCCGCGGTACTTGTCTGCGCTAGCTAGACCTTAGCAAGGCTAAGTACACCATCTCCATTCTGGTGGCTTGAGTACGTACACTCACTAGCGCACGCTTAGAAGGTGCCTTCCTCAGGTACATTGCGCAGTACATACTACGTCCCTACCTAAGGTAGGCAAGATTGTAAAGTAGGTACGTACTCCTGTCGGCGGAGAGGCCCCACACCATCCTCCCTCACCCTGCATCTGATTGCTGCATCTCTGATTCCACGTCGTCTCCTCCACTTGCGCCAACACTGCGGGCGGAATTTGACCACACTTCTTGTTCTGCTCTTGGTCTCGACTATCATCAACTCGTCCACTCATTGGCGCGCACTACTCCAGACACTCACAACTTCAGATGACAGCCCGCCGTGTCTGGTGTGTTTGCTGCTTCTGCGGTCTGCCAGTCGCAGGATGGCGAAAGCCTGCCTGCCCCTCCCCTCCCTTTAAGCCTCGTCAAACATATCCCGGCAACCCTAATATCTTGACCGTCGATGGACCCGTGGCATGAAGCTTGAATTCTGCCTTACCTGACGGGGCATCTGGGGCAAGCTGAACAAAAGCAAACGCGTCTTTATTCGCATGGCTCCATCACCTATAGGGCCATGACGAGTTCACGTTGTTTCAACTTTTAACCCGCCGGCGCCAACGACCAGGGCCCAAAGATGGAAACATGGTAAACTTCAATCGACGATGCCCATGCCCTTACTCTATTTGTTGTAAGTCAGATGGGAGAAACGTCATGTTGAAACACTCCTTACACTAATCACCAGAATACGAGCCCATGAAATTGGTCCATCGCCTGGCCATACACAAGAGCCGTGTGGAGGAAGAGAAGAATGAGGCATCACGGAGCGACTGGCGCATGCAAGTCCACTCCTCTGAGATCCATAGTTGTATACCGCTCAACTGGTCAACCCTCGCCTACCCGCCTCGGCCCTCACATCCGACATCTCTGGAGTCTGGGACTCTAACATCATCCAAGCCTGCCTTGTCGACCTCGGCCCACGAACGAAGAGATAACGGCTCTGCATGTCGTTGACACATTCCAGGAACGGCACTCTCCGAGCGTCGTAGATGCATATGCAGTGCACTGCCCGCAAGCGAGGCTGGCGGGATCCGTCAAGAACCACATGAGCGGCCTCTAGAGGCTCTTCTTTTGCCCGGCCTCCACGGTCGAGAAGCATTACTATGGAGTGTTTACTGACGGTTGTCTAGTGTCCACGGCAACATATCCCTTCACAGATATTGCGTGGGGAGCGCGTTGCGCGTCTCCTAGACGAGACATGCGGCATGCCAGGGTCTCTCCGCCGGCTCTGGCACACTAGCCGACTAGTGTACTACCTCTTTTTTACTTTTTCAACCCCATATTAAGCACCAGCCACACTTTCTCACCACGTAAGACTGGCACACCGTGGATCGTAACCCGGAGCTGATGGCCGAAAACGGCACTTTGGGTCCTATGCTTAGTTCATGCGGCACAAACTCTTCTCCTCTCTTTGAGGCTCTTTCCAGCAAGGCTTGGACCTATTCAAGGACGGGAAACCTTTTACAACTGATCTTACGCGTGCGATGGTGGCGGGTTTGGGCGGGGCGGAACTCGGCTGGACTGCATTGTAAACTTCCATGTAGTCCATGATTCCCAGTTAAGATGATCAGCATCTTCATCATCATCATCATCAAGCACCAGCACACTTTTGGTGTCTGACGTCTGTTCGCAAGCGCGCAGGACGAACATGGCTCGACTTTCGAGGTCTTCCCTGCTTGCTTGCTTGCTTGCTTGCCTGTCACCTTGTCTCCGTCTCTTCTCTCTTCTCCGTCAGACTCCGTGTGAACAAAGTATGCAAAGACGGACACTTGCGTACGTCTCATCTCGGAGGTTGTCGCATCTGTCATCTGTCCCTTTTTACTCCCTCGTTGGCTCCTTCACTAGCGTTCCTGCTAGAACCCACCAATTGGTTTTCCTCTGGTCATGTTTCGGTCGCCCATGTCCAAAGGCTTGGCAAAAGGCTTGTTGGTGGAACTTGGCCCCTTGAAATCGAATACCCCTTAGTCGCGGATAAGACAGTGGCCGCTGCGGCTAAATCCTTGTCTGTTCCCATTCCTCTGCGTGCCAAGTCTGTCCTCATCTACCCTAGTGCTCAAATTCGGTGAGCAGGGTTGGGGCCTGATAATCTCCTGCTTAGGCCCGTCGCCTATCCCCGTCCGTCCTTTGGCTCTTGGGATGTGCCATCCAGTGTTCCTGGCGGCCCTCACGCACCATCCATCACTGCGACTCCACGCGTCGGCCTCTCCAAGGTATCACCAGGTACTAGGTAGTGAGTGTATCCGTACACACAGACTACCGAAAGGTAGCTGTTGTCGTTCTCGAGAGAGCTGCGACGCCAGGTTCAGACTTTGCATCAGTCACCCTTCAAACTCGTTCGCGACTTGCTGTTCCCCCGCTATTGTTCTTTGTTCCTCGTCTGCGGCGACTCTCTACTGGTTATCTCTTCTTTTTCATCTTCTCAGAGATCATACCAACGAATCATCTGTGTTTGACATTGTTGAAAAAGAAGCCCCATGTTTCCCCACAGAATCCAATCAACGACGGGCTACCGAGACAGTAAAGCTTAAACCTTTTGCCGTCTCTCTTCTCTCTGCAAAGTGCTAGGTAGTAGTAGCAGTGAACCACGTCCGCGCCCGCCTATACCTCCCTTTTGATGCAACCACGTTGAACGATCGACGCGGCAGATACGCCTGGACTCGACCGTTTCATCGATCGGGCTCGTCTTTTTCAAGCAGGGGGAGTAGCCGCTTCTCACTACTCCCCAACTTCTTGGAACGGAATTCCGGACGACTCCGTTCACCCGGCTTGCAAACAGTGCGCCGTGACTTCTCTAGAAGACTCCCTCTGGAGAAAGGGCCCCATAAACTTCCAGAGATCCCGAGCCGAGGGCAGACAAACTGCATCGTCAGAATCGTCAGAACACGGGGGGCTCTCGACACAAATCCAGTAATGGATAGCAACACAAGACATGTAGCGGAGGAAACAACGCGGGCGAGGACGTTGGGAAACGTTCGTTTAAGGCATCCAGAGACCAACGAGATCATATTGATCCCGACGCCATCAGCAGATCCAAACGACCCCTTAAACTGGTAGGTACTGGACTGGCGACCTAGATCGTCAAAGAAGCCAGGGATTTTCAGCTGACTCGCTTAGGCCACAATGGTACAAGTACTACATGGCGGGGTTGATATGCTTCGCCATGATGATGTGTAACTTTCTGGCAGCGGGTATGCTCGAATCCATCGTCTCCAGAGTACTCTAGAAGACGACCGGCTAACGGATGTCGTTGCAGGACCCTCGATCGCGTTGCTAGATACAGCCTTGGAGTTCTTCCCGGCAGCCGCCACCGATACTGATGTTCTCAGTCTCGCGATCGCCAGAACTGCTTACTTCTTCACGACAACCGCCCTGCTCCAGGGGGTGGGCAACTTCTTCTGGGTTCCGCTCGCCAACAAGTTTGGCCGACGGCCAGTCTACGTTGCGAGCTACTCCATCTACTTTGCATGCACAATATGGCTCATTTTCGATCACTCGTACGGCGGCTTCTTGGCCGGCCGGATCCTGATGGGATTTGGCGCTGGAGCCGCGGAGACGATCGCGCCCATCTCCATCGCTGACGTTTTCTTTCTGCACGAAAGAGGAACCATCATGGCGTGAGTGCTTGTTCTGGCAGAGAAGCAGGCTGGCAGCTCGCTAACGTTAGTGATACAGACTCTATACCGCGTTCCTTTCTGCGGGCGTCGGCTTTGGTGTGGTCATTTCAGGGTAAGTGATGGGGAAAGCGTCCCAGAGCCTGCCGGAAAATTTCTAACCGTCGTGTGTTCTGGCAGTCTAATCACCATCAACCATAACTGGAGAGTCATCTACCAAGTTTCTGCCGCTTTGGTCGGCGTTGTGCTCCTACTGGCATTCTTCACCTTCCCCGAGACCGCATACGAGAGAGACGAAGCGAGTGCTTGGAACCGCCTGGGTTCGATAGACGGGAGCAAACCCGGGTCGGTGAGGTCGGAAGGCGAGCTGCCCGCTCGTCCGCTAGGAGCTTCGACGACGACGACAAGACGCTCAAAGCAATCATACCTTTCTTCGCTGAAAATCTTCAACAAGACGCTGACGCAGGAGAGCCTGCTGAAGCTTGCGCTGCGACCCCTGGGCCTGATTCTCTTGCCGCCGGTCCTCTGGGCGGCGCTGGTGCAGGCCGTGACGGTCGGTTTCCTCGTCGCTGTGTCTTCCAATGCTGGTTCCGCCTTCTACACGGCGTACGGATTCGATTCGTGGCAGATTGGCCTCTGCTTCATTGCCGGCATCCTCGGTGCGTTGCTCGGTATCCCGGCGGGCGGGCATCTTGGCGACATGATTGCGGATTGGTTTACCAGACGAAACGGCGGGATGCGGGATCCGGAGATGCGACTGCCTGGCATGGCCATCAGTATGGTTACGACTCCGTTGGCTCTCGTTCTCTACGGCGTCGGCATCGATAGCCAGCTGCACTGGATCTGTCCCACCATCGGCCTTGGACTTCGTACGTTGCCTTCCCCCCTCTCTCCTCTCCTCTCCTACCCGTCCCACCCCTCCATGCTCTTTTGTCGAAACGACGGTGTTTCTGATCATCCCATCTACAGTTACCTTCTCCATCTCCCAAGGAACGAACATCTGTCTCGTGTACGTGATTGATGCCTACCGGCCCGTCGCCGGCGAAATCACCCTGGCCGTCATGGGCTTCAAGTGTAAGTGGGCGTCCGACTCTTGGCATCCCTTCTTTTTGTCCGGCATGTAAAGCTGACTCTGGTCCTTGTTTTGCTGCAGCACTCTTCGGCTTCTTGTTGTCCTTCTACACCAATACCTGGGTCGAAAAGGCAGGGTACGACAATGCCTTTGGGGCCATGGCGGGCATCGCATCTGCCGTCTTGGTCCTGTGGGTGCCGTTATTCGTCTGGGGCAAGGCGATACGACACGAGTCGTGGAAGTGGCCGATCATCCGGTATATCCATTGGAACGAAGACAGGGAGGTAGGGGAATAAGAAAAGAGACGATGGAGAGAGGAGGAGAGAGAGAAAGAGAAGAGACCGGACGAAGTTGTAGTTTTCTTGTACCCATCCCACACCGATACCTTCACGGCAGCACACGTATAGCAAGGCGTTTCGGTACTTATAAGAATTGAGTTTTCATATTATGACGGGAAAAGAAGAGCACAGCAAAAATAAGAGGAAGGGCAAGCGCCTTTTACAAGCTTTAAGGTTCCTCCTTCGTTCTTTTTTTTTTCTATCCGTAATTCCTCCTGGTCTTGCTTTGGCCTCCCCCCATTCGTTGCGCCAATACGCAAGCCCAGGGCGTGCCCAGCCCACCTTGGCCCTTCGGGATGTGGGAGGAGCTGGGTCCCTCATTCCCGACACCAGCGCCGCCCAGGCAAGCGGGGTGGGGGGGGCCAAGCAAGGCCGCGGACAGGTTTAACGACATCTCTCTCGCCCAATCTCAGCTCTGAGCAGCTCGCAACAGCCCCGTTCCTGGACCCCTTGAACAGGCCATTTCATACAGATTTTTGATCATACTTTCTTGTGTTTTCCTTGAAAATAACTTGCTCAGTGGTCCTCAGTGGCTCGCTTCAACTAATCTGGCTGCCTAGCCAAAGGTGGTGACCGTTTTATTTTTTTTTCTTTCTGCCCTTTTGGACCCTGAGTCAATGATGAGTAAAACTTTATCATCATCCCTAGTTGTTGCGTGGCTGGCTTTCACGGGCGACGGGGTGTGGGCTATTAGTACCCATGTATCCGTATGTGCCAGGCTCTGTCCCAGACTCTCTCTCAGACTTTCTCTCTCTGTGACCTCTGTTTCTCTCCCTCGTGACCTCGTCTTCTCTTAAAGAGGAATCCATACTCCGTCCAGATATTCGTGGACCGTACTCCGTAAACCCCCCTTCCCGCTCGCTCGCTCTCTCTCTCTCTCTCTCTCTCTCAAATACTGAGCCCCCCGTCAATGACGGCGTTAGCGCCGGTGACGCTCCTGCTCCTGGCGAAGCACAGCACCTGGTCGGCCACGTCGTCGACCGTGGCGAGGCGCTTGAGCGGCGTCCTGTCCCGGGCGGCCTGTTGTTTCTCTTGCGGGAACTGTAGGCCCCATTCCTATACACGCGGAACGGTGGGTATGCAGTGAGCATGTCTGTTTCTGTCTTTTCACGGATGTGTCTTGCCGTGATATGGATACACAGACTAAGGGGAGGGGGGGTAGGTATGAGGATAGGGTGATGGGGAAGTGAGAGGGAAAGGGAAGGGGAAGAGGGCGAATTGTGTAACATACCGTCAACATGAGGCCCGGAGAGACGCTGTTTACTCTTATTCTCGGGCCCGCTGCTAAGGCGAGGCCTTTTACGAGGTGGATCTGGGCTGCTTTCGTCACGGCGTAGGCCTATGTTGTTTTTGCATATCGTGTTAGAGAATCTGCCTTGCCTTGCCTTGCTTGCTTACTGCGCCCATTCGATATTGGGCAGCAGAGATGGCGGGGACCAGGAGAAAAATGGAGAATGATGGGATTGCTAAGAAAATAATGTTTTACCAGTGAACTCCCGCTGACTTTGACACCAGCCAGCGACGCCGTCGTGATGAACGCGCCCTCCGCCTCGTCGAGGTACGGCCGCGCGGCGTGCATGAGGAACAGGTGCGACTTCACATTCATGTTGAAGCAGCGGTCCCAGTCGTCCTCGTCGACGTTGTCGTCGAGGTCCGCGATGTTGCGGAGCCTCGTCCAGCCGCCGTTGGAGAAGAGGACGTCGAGGCGGCCGCCGAGGGCGTCGGCCGCGCTCTTGACGAGGGCGGAGGTCTCGGCGCGGGAGGAGAGGTCTGCTTTGATGGCGTGG